CCCTCCCCTAAAGGAAACACTCAGCCTTAATAGCCTATACCTGGTGATACCCCCAGCATTTTCAAACTCACAGATCTATTCCTAAACCTAAATTTGGAAACCAGATATACCAGTCAGTGAAAAGTGCCATTGTTAAAACAAGGAATTGCTCAATTGGCTTTGCAAGTCCCAAACACAGTTTTGTCTGGTATACAAATGAACACAGAGGCATGGATTGGAACAACGGTGTCACTGTAATACAGACCTCTCTGTGTAAATAAGAATATGTAATGGGACACTGTGCTCCTTGACTGAAAACCTTGTTCAGAGAAGTTGAGTTATGCCTTTGACCACAGCTTTGGCCACAGCTTTGTTGGAGGTCAGTTGCATCCCATGACCTGGAGAGCTCACAGAGAGAGAAATTTACTGATGTAGAATAAAAATCTAGGTTGTTTTTCTTTATGGTAGAAAGAAGAGAACATTAGATTAGGGGTTAGAAGGTTTGAATCTGAATCACAGCTCAACAATTTACTGGTCATGAGTTCTCAGGCAACTCCCTTAAGCTCCTTGATCCTGTGTGTGTGTATGTATTTACATATACATATACGTATACATGCCCTGAAGAAGCCAAGCCGTTAAGGATGGGCTAAGGAAGGAGAAGCCAGTAGAAGAGAACAGAAAGAAGAGAGAATTATAAGACGGCACACCCCAGGACTGACATGAGGAGGACGAAAGAGTGGCCCGTTGGACTGGAATGTTAGGTGTGGGTGGGCATCAGCGATCCTAGCTAATTCAGTTTAGTTAAGACAGTTGATTTATAGAAACCCAGAAGAGATTTCCTAAATTTTAACATCTCAGCATACATTGGAAACATCTCTGAGAACCAGGTTTAATCATTTGCACTACACTTCTTCCTACCATAGTCTCCTAACTTTTGTTGAGAGTTTAGGATTTAAAAAAAGAGCAGTTAAGTGTCATACTTCCAATTTCCTCTAAAACTTTGGATGAAGAGTATGAGCAGCCGATTTAGAACATAGGTGCCTTTGCAAAAAGTGAAATATCAGGTCATTTAGCTTGCAGGATAATTCACAGGGCCTCATTTAACTTAATTCTATGGACCATTGATTTCCCACCTCTAACGTCAGTGATAATGACCAAATGATATATTCAGAGTTTAAAACCATAGTCAAGCTCTGAATAGTAAAGGAATTTGTCTAAAACTCTTTATAAAATACCTCAGTTAGTTTTAGACTAATAGAATTACAGTGGTTTGTGTATTAGCTTCCGTGACATGTCTCATTAGAGAAAGGGTGATCATAAGACTTACCCTTTAGGAAGTTAAAAAAAAATTGAACTCTGTTGAAAAAGAAATTCCTGTCATTATAGCTGAGTATTTAGACTAGCCGTGACAGATGTTCTAAATTCTTTTATGGGAAAGAGTATAGAATTTAGCCAACATTGTTCAGAGGTATAAATCAGGAAATATTTGTATGCTTACTACTTATTGTCAGGCGCCTTGTCTAGCCTTTCAGATCGCCTTCTTTTAGTCCTTGTAGAGAATTCCCTTCCTTAAAGCCTTTTATGCTGAACACCTGAAATTATATACGTCATTGTGAAATAAAACACTGAATTCTAGTTCTGTTTTCTCAGTTAGCAGGGTGTATTACTGAGGTTTATTAAATCCGTCAGTTTGGGAAACGCGGAGGAACTTGCAGGCACATGCTTCCTTGAAAATTTGCCTAAGGACTTTACACAGTATCTGTAAAGAAGCCCCCAGGTGTTGTCAGTTTTCATGGAGGTGATGTTGCTGCTTAATGCTGTTATGTAATAATACAGTCTTCCTAGCAGGAGCCACATGATAAGAGTCTTAAAGATTCTGGCAGCAACTTCAGTTTTAAAATATCTGATTAGCACTTTCTCACTAGGGGTACATGGAGACGTTAAAAAAAAAAATGAAAACTTGCAACAGATGTGGGAACTGGTATCTAGAGTTAACTTATTTCTGTAATCTGAAATGAATTTCTCCTTATCATAAGGATAATGGAAATGGATTTAAAAATGTAGTTACTAACTCATTCTTGTTATGTGTACCTGAAAATTTCACGTAGTCCCTTTGCTTTTTAATTCATTGTCTTAATATCCGGTAGAGAAATGTATATCTTCTTTCACTTGTTAATTCCACTTACAGAAATTTACCTTTTACTCATATGGCATAACTATTCAAGATTATTAGTATGAAGATGTTTACTGCAGCATTTTTATAACAGGGAATAACTGGAAGCAATATAAATGTCCGTTGGGAAGGGATTGGTTAAATAAATTGGTTATTATGTACTACATTATACACAGTAAATGTTGATATAATTGTATATGCACTAAAAAACGCTGATATATTTTTAAATTTAAAGGGCATGTTAAGGGGCGCCTGGGTGGCTCAGTCATTAAGTGTCTGCCTTCAGCTCAGGTCATGATCCCAGCATCCTGGGATCAAGCCCAGCATCGGGCTCCCTGCTCAGTGGGAAGCCTGCTTCTCCCTCTCCCACTCCCCCTGCTTGTGTTCCCTCTCTCGCTGTGTCTCTCTCTGTCAAATAAATAAATAAAATCTTAAAAATAAATAAAGGGCATGTTAAAACAAATATACAAATAATAAAATAAATTAAAAGGCCTGTTACAGGACATTATATGTAATTTTGATTCCATTTATGTAAAATAATAGAAAAACTCACATATTTACTTAAATGTATATAGAAAATGCATTCTTTTTTTAAAATTTTATTTTATTATGTTATGTTAATCACCATACATTACATCATTAGTTTTTGATGTAGTGTTCCACGATTCATTGTTTGCATATAACACCAGTGCTCCATTCAATATGTGCCTTAATGGTGGTTATTTTGGGGGGCTAGAATTGAGGGGCAAAGCAATAGCGTATTTTTTCTTGCTGTACAACGTATAGCATTTTTGTTTTCCAAGAGACTTTTTCAAAATTGAGAAAGGAAGGAAAAAATATAAGATTTCTGTGACAGATTGCTTGTAAAAATCATTCCCTTCCCTGTATCCATGCCCATGAGTCATCCCCTCCCACCCTGACTCTGGGCTCAGCCATGAGGATTGCTTTGGCCAATGGGATGGTGCAGACATGATGCAAAGAATCGAAGAGAATGATGCACATTATAACTGCCCTCTCTGGGGTGCCTGGGTGGCTCGGTCGGTTAAGCATCTGCCTTCAGCTCAGGTCATGATCCCAGGGTCCTGGGATCAAGTCCCACATCGGGCTCCTTGCTCAGCGGGGGGTCTGCTTCTCCCTCTGCCTTCTCTGCCTGCCACTCGCCCTGCTTGTGCTCTCTCTCTAACAAATAAATAAATAAAATCTTAAAAAAAAAAAGTTTACCATTTTGGTAACTATTCATAAGAAAAACCCAATCAGTAAACATGAGAAGACAAGTCATAGACTGGGTTAAGAAGTATACCTCACTGTAATCAGTGGGTGATTATTGTTCCTTTATAAAACAGACACCATTTGGCAGTACAACTCTTATAAGATTTGGTTGACTCTTTATTTAATTCAAGTTAGTTTTCACAATAGCCATAGCCACAGTTTTTTGAAACTTGCCTCTCTTTCTTTTCTAGATGTTATTACAGATACCTTGAACTTACGAAGCTTCTACAGGACAATTAGATCCTTAGATTCTTTTCCTTGATCTGTCTTGTTCCACTGAAAAATATACTTGGGGCCACTTTCATGGATTTGTTCATGGGCTCTAAGAAAGGTTTTGCCCTGAGGATGAGGACTCCATTGTTAGTGGCGTTTATAACCAGCTTTTCTCCATTGTATCTTTTACACTTACGCATTAGAAACTGTTCTTTCAATTCTGAAAGTCCTAGAACTTGTGGGTTATCTCTTTTCCTTTTCAGCCCTGCTTGCAGCTAGTTCTTTTCTGAGTTCATCTCTTTTTTATGTTTTGTTAAGTGCACATAATAGCATCCAGGGCTAGTAGCATACTTTTCCCAGCTTCTTTGTATAAATCCATATGTTCACTAATCACCTTAACTGCTCTCCAAGTGATTGCAGGCAGATGCTGTTTTGCCTCTGTATTGTATGTGTCATCATTTTTCCAGCCTTCAGTAACAGTTTCGTGCTGCTCGGTTCCAATGCCAGCATTACATATGTTATGTATTTGTTACGGCAGTAGCCTATTCCTGGTATCCATTTCTGTACTGGCTTTTCCTCAATAAGGCTGCTGTAACAGATCCAGCATTTTAGTGCCTTACTACAACAGAGATTTATTTCTAGCTCACGTGTTAGCTATAAGTTGTCTGCAGTTCTGAGGCTCCATTAAATGGGTCTGACTCTGTGTTCTGGGCTAAGGAGCAGCCCTATCTTGGTCTTAGATTGGAGGGAAGTGAAAACGCTGAACTATGCAGTATCTCTTATGTCATCTTCTCAGACAAGGTGTGGGTAACTTGCAATAACTTGCAATAATAGTTCATTGGCCAAAGCAAGTCTTAAGGCCAGGCCCAGTGTTCAAATGACAGGGAAGAATTTGTCTCTAAGAGGTGTACTGTGAGTCACCAGACCCAAGGACAGGGATGTATAGTTTCATCTGTAGGGAGAGGAGAACAGTAATGCTACCTGCACATCCACTTCTACATACATTCCCTGAAGCAGCAGTGTTTTTCAGAGTGCTAAGTTCTTATATGAAGATAATAAACATTTGGAAGTTATCAGTGTATAAATGACTGTGAATAAGATCATCCGGGGAGAGGAAAGTGCTAGAAACCTCATGGGACACGTATCTACAGAGAAGACTAAGAATGAACAGAGGTGGGGAGAAGAATAGGAAAGAACATGTCCTGTACTCTTACAGAACCATTTCTGCTCCAAAAATTACAACTTTTTTTAAAAAGAAAGCCTGAATGCAGATGCTTTAAATCTCTCCAGTTTATACCATCACAAGACTTAATTTCCAAATAGCATAAGAGATTTAAAATTTATACTTGTTTGTTTGTTATTACAGAGATTTGCCACAGTATGGGCAGAAGCAGTGGCAGTCCTATTTTGGAAGAACTTTCGATGTTTACACCAAACTCTGGAAGTTCCAGCAGCAGCATCGGTAAAGGAATTTTATAGTTACAGGAGAATGAAGATCCAGTTTATATTAGTCCCAGTTTTGACCTTTACTACCTCAGTGCTTTTTATCTCTTGGTGATTTTAATATATTTCATCTTCATGACGCAAAGGAAAATAAATTGATTTTTTTTCCTATTTACTTAAGTTTTTAAAATGTAATGCTCTCATCTGATCTTTAAAGATAGTATTATATCTCAAATGGTTCAGTTTAACTCTAACATAGGTAGACTAATGTGTGGTTTCATTCTAAAATAGGTGTTGTTTATTTGGTCAAAACTGTTTGGAGGGGGGTGTTGCTTTTAATTTTCATGAGCATAGCTCAAAGAAGTTTCTTTTCCTGTTTCAGCTTACTTTAAATGGACATTTAATACATGCTTCTTGAATTTAATTGAATGATGATGTTGAAATCTCATGAAAAAGTCATGAATTTGAATTCATGAATTCAGAATTTCATGCTGAATTGGGTGGTATTTTATCCTATTAAATTTACAGATTTGGTTATTTTTGGAATTTATAGTCTCTTATTTCTATTTTCTTATCTCCTATGTAAAACAGACAAGTCTTGGATAATCGGTATGGCTTGAAGCGGTGGCAAATAGGGGAAATTGCTTCTAAGATTGGGCAGCTATACTACCATTATTAGTAAGTGAATTGCATATGGAAAAAATAAAGCGTTGTCCTGATTTAAACACAGCATGCAGAAGTATGCATAATATCCTTCTTGGTAGGAGGGAAAAACTAAGGAGTTACAAATGAACCCCAGATCATAGTGATCAAAACAGTATTATGAAATGATCTTCCATAATCCAAGAACATTATTTACTTCAAAGGCTTACCTTCCAAACAGTTCATTTGTGTAGACTCATGTATAACTTAAATGATTATGATCTTGGTTTTGTATAAATCATAAATACTAAATGAATTTATAGTTCTTAATGACTTCACTTAAATCTTGATACATGTCATAACTTGTATGTTTGAATGAGTGGTTTTCAGGGGAATATTTTAAAACTCATATTTGTAGGATATATCTAAAAGATTACATGAAGCAGATGAATCTTAGTGTTGAGATGAGATCCTTAGTGATGAGTCAAGGAAAGAAGAGAATTCCTTTTAGGAATCTAAATCTCATAGAGTATCAAGTATACCATAAAAAGCTTGGGCTATATGGAATTTCTTCCTCTTCCTGTCTTTTGGCACTCCATCAACATTCCCCCATTAAAATCACTCTTTCAGGTAAAATATTTTCTTAAGAAGTCCCTTGTAAAACTAGAAATGTTAAACAGAGAACCTGATTCATCAGCATCCTCTGAAGATTAATATGGATTAGTCCATTTCTGAGTCCTATGAGAAAAAAAACCGAAGAAATGAGCCAAAGGACAAGTGACTATGTATGGATTTGGGGAAGGCCATGAAAGGTCTGGTGGAAAGATGTAACCGGGTGGAATGCTGTTTGGAGAATCCCTTCAAAGAATAACAATAATATGTACTTTGGATTGCCATCACAAAAGGCTTGGGAGCTTGGGGAGGTATTTTTTTTTTTTTTTACCTTGTCATTATTTTTACCCATTGTAAGGGTGTTATAATTATTGCTTTGCTGATTCAAATTTAGGGTAGTCCTTCCCATCCCCTCGTGTAGAGGAATAGAGGAAGAATGAAACAAGTATTCATCATGAAGATTTTGAGACACTGTCAAATTTAAGGATTTTTTTTTCCTCATAGCCTACGCACGTCTGAGACCAGCTATCTGAATGAGGCTTTCTCCTTCTATTCTGCAATCAGACAGAGATCATATTATTCTCAAGTCAATAAAGAGGACAGGTATGCACCTACTATGTTTTTAGAAAGGAGAGAAAACACTCAGAATTTTTAGTCTGTGTGGAAATTATGCAAAGAAGCACATATTTGTTTATAACTTTTATTAATTTAAATGGTATTTACTGAGCACCTTCCAATATACTAGGCCTTCTTAAGCATACAGATGTATGTTACCTAAAAGCAATACATGTTATAGATAGAACAGATGTCGCAGTACCTGGATGGAGTCAGAGCACAAAGGTGGGGTTGATTATTTCTTTTTGAGAGATTAGGGTTGCAGGAAGTTTCGGAGAAAAGAAACAATTCCCAAGTGAGGCTTAGCTGATAGCCTTTGTTCTTTTCAGCCTGTATAATTTGAATTCATATACATTCAAAAGCCTGTTGACAGCTGTTGGTGGGACTAAAGAAAAGGCTGCTAAAGCTGTTTACATTGTCTTGTATAAACTGGATACCTTACTGTTGTGTAGCTTCACTGTAAGAAAAAAATCAAGTAGAATTCATTCCTTCCCAGTGGCAATCTATTGAGCGCTTATTATATATTTGGCAGTGTGGTGTAGATGCTTGGGTGGGAGAAGGAAAAAGAAAAGAAGAAGGTGTACAGGTGTTCTCTTTTCCTTTCAGAGAACTTCTTTTGGGAGTTACAGACGTATTTGGGGTGCAGGCAGACTGATGTTATTAATTCCAGGTGAAGACGGAATTGCTGAAGAAATCAGGGTTCTTCTGGAGAGTCTCTGTTACTAACGTTCCAGGAACTGTTGGAAGAGAAAGCTCAGGCGTAGAAGATCTGAATGTTCTCTCTACTGCCAGCAACAGAACTCACAGTTGTTATATAGTGAAAAGATTATATTCTCTTAGCAGTAGACAAGAACATAATTTTGACATATTTTTCTAGAGGACACTTTGTGGTTGGCTATCATAAGCTTTCTGGCTAAACAGCAGCATTTTTTGGAAAGCCCCGCTCTTGTAAATCCCCTTCATTCCCTAGCAAATCTTGTTCAGGCTTGTCCAAAGGAGCTTGCCTGATATGAGCAAGGCCTGCAGTTGCTGGATTCTCCATTCCCCCCGGCCTCCCGAAGTCAATGCTGTGCTTCATTCTTAGAAGTTCCATCAGTTACCTCTCCTTCAGATTTTCTTAGTTTGCCTCACCTGTTCTCACTACAGATATATTTCCTCGGAACCCCCCCCCGTTTTTGTATTCATATTGTACAATTTGTGTGAATTCTTGGTGAGATAAATTTTATTTCTGGGGGCGCCTGGGTGGCTCAATCGTTAAGCGTCTGCCTTCGGCTCAGGTCGTGATCCCAGGGTCCTGGGATCGAGCCCCGCATCGGGCTCCCTGCTCCGCGGGAAGCCTGCTTCTCCCTCTCCCACTCCCCCTGCTTGTGTTCCCTCTCTCGCTGTGTCTTCCTTTGTCAAATAAATAAATAAAATCTTTTAAAAAAATTTTATTTCTAAAAATATGCAAAAGGGCTATGTAATTAGTATCTTTTCAGTATGAAAATACATATAAAGAAAGAACCATTTTAAGCAATAATGAAACACCTTGTATAATTCACTCTTCTGCATGTTCTAATTTGCTCAAAGGGAAATTGGCCTTGGGCCCTTTGGCTTAAAACCCAACAGTTTCCTTTATTAAAATCCTTTTCTATCCTAATAGCAAATGCCCCATGTGAATGATTTTCCTGTGCTGCCTCCTAGAGCAAGGCAGATGAACAGAGGTAGGATTATTTGTAACCAGGATGACAAAATCTCTTGCCTTAGGCCACTAAATTAGAATGAAAGGACAATCCAGTGTGCAAAATCTTGACTTTGTTCCCTGTACTTTAGGAAGGCTGGTTGTTGGTAGGATGTTTCTGAGTTCAGACAGGGCAGGAAGACAGTCAAGGTAGCAATTGCTAACAGCTACAAAAATGAACAGCTCGTTTAGCATAATGCCCTCTAGTTCCATCCACGTCGTTGCAAATGGCAATATTTCAAGCTTTTTGATGGCTGAGTAATATTCCATTGTATTAATAAAATAAGATGAAAACAGAGAGGGAGGCAAACCATAAGAGACTCTCAACTCTGGGAAATAAACTGAGGGTTGCTGGAGGGGAGGTGGGTGGAGGGATGGGGTGATGGGCATTAGGAGGACACTTGATGTAAGGAGCACTGGGTGTTACATGCAACTGATGAATCTCTAAATTCTACCCCTGAAATTAATAATATAGTATATGTTAACTAAATTGAATTTAAATAAAAAATAAAATAAAATGAACAGCTGGTTGATTAAAACTAAGTAAGAGAGTATTGTGCAATTTCACAGTTGCTTTAAAAGCAAAAATCTCTCCTCAAAGGGGCAAATTCTCCCTGCACTGTCTCAGTACCTAAGGACTGTGTTAAAGCCAGAAGGAATGGTACATTCCAGCGATCACCAAAAGTGACGCATATACAACTCTGAACATGTCTCATTCCATGGGCCCATCCTGTTTAGTAGGGGAGACATTAATGGAGCCACAAACCCTGCCTGTTGCAAATGGCTCAGGCCAAACCTGGCCAGAGTTAGATGTGGAGAGGATGAAGTTTCTGAGTACCCAGAGGTTGGGGCCACGTGGCAGTCAGCCACCTGGGAAAACAGTTTCTCAGGCAAATGTATAAGGTCGGTATCTTAGAAGTAGTGGGCCTGGCTGGCTGGACAAAGCTACAGTTCTGGAGTACCAGAGAACTTTGTCAGGAGAATCATGATGTCAACCTCAGTGGTGACAGTATGGAAGTTCTTGATCATGGGAAACGTGAATTGAACCTTGAGGACCTTGGCATTTCCTAGTAGTGATATTTATAGGGAGGACTTGAAGTGGACCTTTCTAGTGTGGTTCATGGGATGATATTTTTCATCTGCAGTTTGGTATGTTGTCAGACAGTGGGGCTGTGGGCTATTCAGATTTTCAGGCCTGACTGGGATAGCCTCTCATGTGTATGAGTGGATAGTATGGCCTTATTTCCCTGCCCTTTGCTGCACTTCAACACAGTGGTTTCCACAATAGAATGCATCCACCTACTTCTGTATGTTTATTTAATATAGGGATTGGCCTGGCTGTTTTTGAGTTGTCTGGGAGCTTAGGATCCTATTTATATTTTTAAAGTGTCATGAAAAAAGAAAAGATAGATACGTTATAAGCACCATATTTGCTTACAAAGCCTAAAACATTTACTTTCTGGCCATTTGCAAAAATTTGCTAATTCCTGGTTCAATATGTGTTTGTGTAATCTGTGTTACATAGTTGTATAATATGATACAGATTCACAGAACCTATTTTATTTTTATCAAAAAATTAAAGGAATTGTCATATTAACATTTCAACTATGAATTGACATTATGCTCCTACAAATTTTCCTCCTGTTTTGAATTCCACTTCTGATAATGTAGCAGGCTAGATAATAAAAAATACTGTCTCCAAAATACCTATAGAGATGCTGGATAAACAGATCAACTGTCTTTTTAAGATTTAATTTTTTATTTGAGAGGAAGAGAGACAGAGATAGTAAAGCATGAGCTGGGAGGAGAGGGAGAAGCAGGCTCCCCACTGAGCAGGGAGCCCAACGTGGGGCTTGATCCCAGGATCCCAGGATCATGACCTGAACTGAAAGCAGACGCTTAACGACTGAGCCACCCAGGCGCCCCAGCCATCCTTTTAAATGGACAGTTTAGCTGTCAAGAAAGTAAGGGAAATCCTCAGGTCATTAACCGTGTGACCAGTGCTAGGACAACCTTGTAGGAGGGTGGTTAGTTTTGGTGATATAAAAGAACTACTGTGGATTTCTTCAGAAAGAAGAAAATTGAAATTGAAAAGAAGGGGTTGATATACAAGGTATTGGTAAGAAAAAGGTTATCCCTTTGTTCCCTAAAAAGTCACAGACTTCATAAGACAGCAATCATTGTAATAATGGCTAATTGAGGGTATCGAGATAAAATGGGGCCAAATTTTGGACAACAATAACATGAAAGAAGAAAGTAAAGAATTAAATCATACCAATAACACCCATTTATTGTTCAGAAGAAGCTTAGAGTAAGTAAAGTTTGCTTATTAAAGTTTTTTTTTTTTAAGATTTTATTTATTTATTTGACACAGAGAGAGAGATAGCAAGAGAGGGAACACAAGCAGGGGAGTGGGAGAGGGAGAAGCAGGCTTCCCGCAGAGCAGGGAGCCTGATGTGGGGCTCCATCCCAGGACCCTGGGATCATGACCTGAGCCGAAGGCAGACGCTTTAACCACTGAGCCACCCAGGCGCCCCTGCTTATTAAAGTATTAAGAAAAATATTTTTAAAGAACATAAAGAAAATGTATAACTTCAAAACAGGTAGAAGGGGAGGAAAGTAAAAAATAAAATTACGATGTATGATCTTTACAATAAAAGGTAGGAAAGGAATATACACTAAAATAAAGTATAATTAGCCCAGAAAACTAAAGTAGAAATAAGTCCAAGTACATTGGTAATCATAGTAAGTGAAAGTGATTGAAACTTCCTAATAAAAGTTAGAGATTATCAGTATGCCTTTTAAAGGAAAATCCAGTAATATAGTCTTTATAAGAGTTCCTCCAAAGATATAAGGTACATAGAAAAAGATAAAATAGATATCAAGGGGAAGAAATGCCACTATATTTAAGGCAGAGAGTATTATTAAGGATAGAGGTTTACTTCATAATGGTACAAGTAAGAACTAAAAAAAAAAAAATAGAAAAATTCTAAACTTGTGTATCCCCAATAATGTAATATTATAATAAATCAAAAAGTGATATATTTTATGGGAGAAATTGATAAATGATCTAATGTGTACAAGAAGATTTTTAATATACCATATTTAATCATTTATATATCAAGAAGACCAAAAAATGAGATTTGAGTAAAATAATTAAAAACTTGTCCTAATGTGCTTAAGACTGCCTACAACAGTAAGCGATGCACATAATTTTCAAGCTTAAATGAAACTTGTGTGAAATTGATTTATACCTGACACAAAACAGGTTTCAGTTATTTTCAAGTGTAGGATGTCTAGCCCTGGTGCAGTGCCATTAAAAATTAAGAATGACAACATAGTTTTCTTATGTTCTTCCTGTATTTTCCTGCCTATTGTCTTCCATTCTTTATCATCTTACCTTAAACATCACTCTCGCTAGGAAGCCTTCTCTGTGGGCTCAAAGAACACCCTTTAGTTCTCTTGTTCTTATACTTATTCCGCTGTGTTTTAAGTGTTTATCTGTCTTCGCTACATTTTAGTTAGTTTGCTGTCAATGAGATCCGTGAAGAAGGGACTGTGACTATAGTTGTTTGTTTTAATCATTCTTCTGGCACTTAGCAAGGTGCCTGATACAGCTAAGTTCTCAGTGGGTATTTGTTCAATGAATGAATGTATGAATGAACATGAAGAATCTGTAAGAAATGTGCTTAAATGTGACTACAGGTTATATGCAGAAATACTTGTACCTGTGCAAAATAGGATCTAAAAGAGTTTAAAAGCTGCCAGAGAGTTGGAAAAATCAAAGAGCATGTTTTCTTTTTTTAGTCTAATGAGTAACTTCCTATTTATCTGCCGTAGACCTGAGTTGGTCGTTAAGAAGCTACGATACTATGCAAGATTTATTGTAGTTTGTCTTCTGCTCAACAAAATGGATGTTGTGAAGGATTTGGTGAAGGTAAGTGTGCTTTTAAAATTATTAAAATCCGGAGCACCTGGGTGGCTCAGTCGTTAAGCATCTGCCTTCGGCTCAGGTCATGATCCCAGGGTCCTGGGATCGAGCCCTGCATCGGGCTCCCTGCTCCACGGGAAGCCTGCTTCTCCCTCTCCCACTCCCCCTGCTTGTGTTCCCTCTCTCGCTGTGTCTCTCTCTGTCAAATAAATAAATAAAATCTTTAAAAAATTAAATTAAATTTAAAAAATAAAATTATTAAAATCATGGCCCATAATTGTGTATGGATAATTTTGTTTTTCAAAAATAGATTCAGGATAAAAATAATTTTAATATATGTAAATCATTATAGCATTTGAAGTATAGTAACTTTATAGTATATTCAAAGTATAGTAACTTCGGACAAGTAATGCTAAAAGGATTTTCCTGCTCTTTCCATATTTCAGATATACACTAGCCAGAGACAGTTCTCTTAATTCCTTGCTTTTGTCCCTTAAGCATGTTTTGCATTTCACCACCCATCAGTGGATGTCTGGGAAATGCAAACCAAAGTTAAAATATTTGGTTTAAGAGAAAATAATTGAAAGGTTAGGTCAAGAATAAGCATGTAATGTTTTACAAAGGTATTGTGAATGAGTTTTGGTCTTTCCATCCATTTTCTGTGTCTGCTTCACTGTCCTTCATTAGCTTTGGTAATTAGGAGTTAGCCGCATTTGGGATTCACTCAATATCTGTAGTTATTGCACACCCCATTCTGGTTGCACTCTGTAGTCAGTCAGTTGTTTCAGTGGCATGCTTCCTAATTTTTGATACTCAAGTAGAACATGCTAGTTTTTTGTGGGTTTTGTGTATGTGGGTTTTTTTTTTTTTTAGATTTATTTATGTATTTATTTGAGAGAGAGAGAGTGCAAGCAGCGGAAGGGGTAGAAGCAGAGGGAGAAGCAGACTCCCTGCTCCCAGAACTGGAAGGTTATGACCTGAGCCGAGGGCAGATGCTTAACCAGCTGAGCCACCCAGGCACCCCAGAACATACTAGTTTTGACAAGTTCTCCTCTGTCTTCTTCCATCTCTAGTTACTAATAAGACTCTTCCCAAAACACACTATGATATAAATCCAAAGAAAATCATCTAGACAGTCTTCAGGGTTTTTTTAGTGTTAAAAATTTGGGGTTTTACCTTTAAGAGTCTTCTATTAATAAATTAAGTGCTGATGTAGCATTGATTAGGTATGAGTGACTCTGGATCTCTATGAAGATCTTATTGGTGTGGGGCGCCTGGGTAGCTCAGTCATTGGGCGTCTGTCTTCGACTTGGGTCATGGTCCCGGGGTCCTGGGATCGAGCCCCGCGTCGGGTTCCCTGTTTGGCGGGAGGCCTGCTTCTCCTTCTCCCACTCCCCCTGCTTGTGTTCCCTCTCTCACTGTCTCTCTGTCGAATAAATAAAATAAAAATCTTAAAAAAAAAAAAAAGATCTTATTGGTGTGTATTATTCTGGAGTCTTTTATTTTAAAGCAAAATAAAGTTTTCTTCTTTGTTTTTGGCTATAATTGGGACTATATATTTATGATAATCAAGCTTCTTAAGTATACCAGTTTCTGTCAAGAATATGGTACAGTATAGCAATCTATTTTTATGTGTTTTTTTCCTATAATCATTTTTCTTTGTGATATTTTAAAATTAGGAATTGTCAGATGAAATTGAAGATTATACTCACCGCTTTAATACAGAAGATCAAGTGGAATGGAACCTGGTGCTTCAAGAAGTAGCAGCTTTCATTGAGGTCAGCTTTTGACAAGAAAGATTGTCATAATTATGGATAAGTAAATGCATGTGTGATACACATTTTTATTGTGTGTATATGTCAAGAAGCGGGAATAATTTATTCCATTGACATTTTGTCTTGGCCATCAACTACTGACTGCTTTTTTCTCCAGGCGGACCCCGTGATGGTATTGAATGATGATAATACCATTGTTATCACATCTAATCGCCTTGCTGAAACAGGAGCCCCATTGCTGGAACAGGGCATGATTGTGGGACAGTTGTCTCTGGCTGATGCGCTCATTATTGGTAATTGTAATAACCAGGTAAAGAATTGTGAAGGAATTATACTTAAAATTCACTTTGAAAAATAATGCTTTCTTATTATTTTAGAATTACAGATTATTATTACAGAATGACTATTTCCTTGTAAATATCCTAAATCCATTTGTGAGGAAATGGTTAATTCAATTATGCCATGTCCATATGGACAGTTTTACAGACATTTACAGGTTTAAAAAGAATTTTTAGTCACAGAGGAAGATATACTCATGATATGGTAAGTGAAAATAAACTTAGTTTAGAGCTATATAAACTGAATTATTTCATATATGTTAAAATGTCTATATACATATTTACAGGCAGAAAGACTAAGAAGAAATTTACCAATATCATGAAAGGTGCTAGGTAGCAGGGTGATAGGTGATTTATTTTCTTCTTCTTTTTTAAAGCTTTACTTTATTTAAATTTTTTTTAAGATTTATTTATTTTTTTGAGAGAGAGTACGTGTGAGCAAGCAGGAAGGGGGCAGAGGAAGAGGAGAGAGAGAATCCCCAGCAGACTCCCCACTGAGTGCAGAGCCCCACACAGGGCTCGATCCCACGACCCCAAAATCACAACCTAAGCTGAAACCAAGAGTCGGACACTTAACCAGCTGAGCCTCCCAGGCCACCCCTGTTTTCTTCTTTATAACTTTCTAAGTCCGTATATTAGGCAAAAAGGGAGGAAGAAGTATTTTTAAGTATATTTATCACAGCAAATATCAAATATTTTTTGTGACAGAATAATTCCGTGATGATAAGGATTTAATGTACTAGAAATGTAAATTTACTGGAAATTATGGGATATCAGAAAAGTGTCCAGGGAATACATTTTTCTATATGCATTATTTACACAAGTTTTAATTTTGGATCCTTCCCTCACACCTTTCATTTTTGTTATTGTTAACTTTTTCTAGTACTTCTCCAATTTGGGCTTTTAAAGCTATTAACTATGGGCAGAAGACCTTAACAGACATGTCTCCCAAGGGAGACATCCAGATGGCCAACAGACACATGAAAAGATGCTCAACATCACTCATCATCAGGGAAATGTAAATCAAAACCAAAATGAGATATCCTTTCACATCAGTCAGAATGGCTAAAATCAAAAACACAAGAAACAACAAATATTGGCAAGGATGTAGAGAAAAAGGAACCCTCTTGCACTGTTGGTGGGAATGCAAACTGGTGCAGCCCCTATGGTAAACAGTGTGGAGGTTCCTCAAACAGTTAAAAATATAGAACTACCCTATGATCTAGTAATTGCACTACTGGGTATTTACCTCAAAAATACAAAAACGTGTATTCAAAGGGATACATGCATCCCTATGTTTATCGTAGCATCATTTCTAGCCAAACTGTGGAAGCAGCCCAAGTGTGCATTGATAGATGAATGGATAAAGAAGAGGGTCTGCATGTGTGTGTGTCTGTACAATGGAATATTATTCAGCCATAAAAAGGAATGAAATCTTGCCATTTGCAACAACATGGACAGAGCTAGAGAGTATAATGCTAAGCGAAGAAGGTCAGAGAAGGACAAATACCATATGATTTCACTTATATGTAGAATTTAAGAAACAAAGCAAATGAGCACAGGGAAAAAAGAGAGAGAAAGAGAGAAACCAAAAAACAGACTCTTAACTATAGAGAACAAACTGATGGTTACCAGAGGAGAGGTGGGTGGGGGGATGGGTGAAATAGGTGATGGGTATTAAAGAGTACACTTACCATGATTTAACAAAAAAATTTTTTTAAATAACACATTGCCTCCCTGAAGTTCTAAAGAAGTATTATTCAAAACGGAAAAGGATACAGTCTTAAACATCAAATTAGAGCCAAAATGTATTTAAGAGTTTATGAAATATGGGCCATAGACAGGGCACCTGGGTGGCTCAGTCGTTAAGCGTCTGCCTTCAGCTCAGGTCATGATCCCAGGGTCCTGGGATCGAGCCCCGCATCTGGCTCCCTGCTCCGTGGGAAGCCTGCTTCTCCCTCTCCCGCTCCCCCTGCTTGTCTGCTTGTGCTCTCTCTCTGAAATAAATAAATAAAATCTTAAAAAAAAAAAAAGAAAGAAATATGGGCCACAGCCATATTCTAGCAGGCTGTTTTGCCAAAAGTTAGCGTGTTTTGAAGGACCTAATATAGGTCTTTTTGTTTAGATGACTACTTTATGATTTTGAAAATACCTAAAGAAGTTGATGGATTGACAGAAATATAAATAGATGGAGAGATACAGGATAATGCAAATATAGAAAACGTTAATGGTACAGGACCTAGATGATAAGCATTGGGTATTACTGTACAATTCTTCTAATTTTCTGTCTTTGGAAATGTTCTACAATAAAACACTGGGGAGTAAAATTACCCAGTGTCATTAAGTACACACGAATGTCAGGGGTGATATTATGGTCAGAGACTTCCTGGTCTGGGCACTGCATTAATGGTCAGGTTTGTTTTCCTTGCAGGTTAAGTTTAGTGAACTAACTGTGGACATGTTCCGGATGTTACAAGCCCTGGAAAGGGAGCCAATGAATTTAGCTTCCCAGATGAATAAACCGGGAATGCAGGTGATCTTCTCTCTACATTTGCAATTTTGGTAACACTGTTGCTGCCTCTGGTCCTCACGGAATGCTGTTATTCAACAAATGCCATGCATGTGAATGAAGAATTCTCTTGATGAGACACAGGAGAGAGAAGCACAGTAATAGTAACACAGAGTAAAAAAAGCTATTTGATGAAGAGGAATGTAAAAATAGTCATTGATAATTCATCTGTCAAATACAGCTTGTGTGTGTCCTGTTTTCTGTGTGTAAATACAGGAATCAGCTGATAAGCCTACCAGACGAGAAAACCCCCACAAGTATCTGCTGTACAAACCAACCTTCAGTCAACTGTACACATTCTTAGCAGCATCTTTTAAGGTATATATGAGCCAATACTTTTTACTATATGAGGAAAGTGTGCCCTAAAGAGAACTGAGAGTCACTCTTTTCTTTGACTATTTGAGTCAAGAATTTAGATAAAATATGAAACTGAAACCTGCATTCAGAATATCTGATCACAGCTATTTTGTAATGGAAATTGCTTATGATGTTATGACTGTTCCTTACCATTAATTAATGAGAATACTGATTAATCATCATTCTTCTCTCTGCAGGTTTTTATTATAAACTACGTTAAGCATAACAGATTGCACAAGCATGTTGTATATTCAGGTAGCTCTGGGAAGCATTGTGGTCATCTAAAAGAACTATGAGAAGTAGGGAATTCCTCCCAACGTTTATGTAGAGAAAGCCACAGACAGGAGTTTGTCTTTTAGACTTATAGTCAGGATCCTTACTTCTCCGTTTCAAGGTTTGCAGAGAACATTCTCTAAATGAGGAGTTTTTTGAAGAAGAGAATGAATTCAAAACTTTGGGCAATAGTAATAGATTATAGATTCATAATGACCCTTTGTTGTGTAAACAGTTAAGAGTTGGAATCTGCAAGACTGATCTCTTAAAGAAGATGGTAATACATTGAATTAGGTTCTTGTTCTCCCTTCAACTTGAAAATGTCAGGAACATTAAATAAAACTGTTTGTTGCTTTGTATATGTGATTTTCTTTAATTTCAGGAGCTGCCTGCCAATAGTGTGCTTCTGATTTACCTGTCAGCCACTGGCGTTTTCCCCACAGGTCGTTCTGATAGTGAAGGTACAATAAAGGAATGCTCCCTGTCGTGAGCAGGGCTTGAATTCTCTTTATTTTCTACAAGACGATGGCCCGTAGCCCACAGACCATCCCAAGCTTTCCAGAGAGGCTTCCAAATTTGAAACCTGGTCTCTTTGTTGAACTGGCAATCTTGTAGGATACCCCAGTCTATTTTATTTGTTGAAATATTATACTTTGAAGTCCACAAATCATCAGCAAATTCGTATACTAAATGCATGCCTCACTATCAAGTTTGCCAAAGGCACATATATATTTAAATATATATGGAATAACCAAGCCTAATGTTCTACTTCACATCATTGAGTTTTTCTGGGCCTTTAGGGCAAAGGGGGATCTGGTCAGCGGCTTCATTGTGGCTGAAAGTCTTTGTAGAAATTAGTGCACTTTTGTGACTGTGAAAGTTCAAGTCCTTGTCATGATGTTGTTTTCTGTCCTTTTGGTTTTTATGGATTCAACCTGAAGAATATTGGGATGCTATTTCAGAATCAAAACTTAAAACTGTCCAGAATATATGAGTCCAGAATATATGAAATTGATCAGAATAGATGAGTAACTTGGATGTAAATTAGGCAATTAATTCTTTGGACAAAAAAAATTTTTTTTCTTAACATCCTTAACATTTCCTCTTCATCTGTTTGTTGAAATTTGCATTCCTTTATACAATGCATGTCCCTGCCATCTTCCTTGCATGACGTATAGGTCCTCTTAAAGCGTTAAAATGAAAACAAAACAAAATAAATCTCAGAGTCTTTTCATTGCAGTGATTCTTAAGGAATAAAATGTAACAATGTTACAAGTGACACAATCATAAACTGCTTTAAATTTTTTTGTAATGAAGTTAGTAATTTTATTTATAATTATTTCCATGATTTGTAACATGTACTGTTGAATCTGGTCCCCTGTTTAACATACTGATCCCTTATTTTACTTTTTCAAAGTACAATAGGTACTAACTAAATGGCCCTCTGAGAGAGATGATTCCTAACATCCCACAGTTGCAGTTCCATTTTTTTTTTTTTTTAAAGATTTTATTCGGGTGCCTGGTTGGCTCAGTTGTTAAGCATCTGCCTTAGGCTCAGGTCATGATCCCAGGGTACTGGGATCGAGCCCCGCATCAGGTTCCGTGCTCAGCGGGAGGCCTGCTTCTCCCTCTCCCTCTGCCCCTGCTTGTGTTCCCTCTCTTGCTGTCTCTCTCTGTCAAATAAATAAAATCTTTAAAAAAAAAAGAGAGAGATTTTATTCATTTGTTAGAGAGAGACAGAGAGAGAGCATAAGCAGGGGGAACGGCAGGCAGAGGGAGAAGCAGTCTCCCCGCTGAGCAAGGAGCCCAACGTGGGACTCGATCCCAGGACCCCGGGATCATGACCTGAGCCAAAGGCAGCCACTTAACCAACTGAGCCACATAGGCATCCTTGCAGTTCCATTTAGATAAGAGTTCAACTAACCAATGTGACCAGTAGGAAAGAATAACTTCAAAACCAGAACTATAGTGGCTGACACAATAGTGACACTAACAGATTTTTTTCACACACTGAAATTTGGCATTTCTTTTGGTAAAAATGAAGTTTTTGTCAATGAGAATTTTCAAGTCCCATTCAAAATTTCCCCTAAATTTTATAATTAGTGGCTCACTTAAAATTATATTTAAGAAATTATTAGGACTTCATTCTGCAACTTTCTTACTTAGATAATTTGGTTGAATGTTAGATATAATTTTGCTTGAAATGTAAAGACCATTTTGAACATCCCAGATCTTCATCCCTTTTACTACCCAGAAAAATGGGGTGCAGTAGATTCTTGTTTTGTTTCTCATTATATTCTGTTTGAAGAACTGATGAATAATTAAATGATTTTTTTAAATGTTGAAACAGGCAACATGCTGAAATCATTTAAATACTGCGTTAAACTAGAATGTTAAATTTTAAAATGGTTAAAATGTTTTGTAATTGTCTTCCATTTGTATCAATGAGAGATTCATACGAGACCTTTGTATTTGAGTGTCAGAGCAATGTTATTCTCCAGCTGAAGTCTAGGATTCTTCCCTTTGTTTTTATAGGTCCTTATGATTTTGGAGGGGTACTTACTAATAGTAACCGGGATATTATAAATGGAGATGCCATCCACAAACGAAATCAGTCCCACAAGGAAATGCACTGGTATGTATTCTGGTGTCTCTCCCTATTATAAAAATTATAGTTCTGTCATAGAAAATACTAAGTGAAATGGGAAGTTTTTTCTAGTACTGGAAATAATCCCTCAGACTATTAATAACACTTATTTGGATTCCAGCAATATTTCAGGCTCTGACTGTCCTAGGAAATTAGAATTTTTGGCTGACATTTGTTTTTAAAATTTTCACTGAGTATTATATGTCAAGCCCTATTCAATCATTGGGGATTTGTCAGTGAGCAGAATTACATTCAAGTTGGAGGAGACTGTACATGCATACATAAATAGTATGTCTGGATATGATACATGTTAATGTCAATACAAGCTTTTTTTTTAATTTGAGAGAGCGAGTGAGCGAGAGAGAGAACACGAGTGGGGGAGGGGCGAAGGGACAGGGAGAAGCAGACTCCCGGCTGAGCAGAGAGCCCAACGTGGGTCTCAATCCCAGGACCCTGGGTTCATGATGTGAGCTGAAGGCAGACGCTTAACCGACTGAGTCACCCAGGCACCCCCAATACGAGCTTTTTAATATAAGGTTCTTCTGGTTTGATATAGTATAAATGAACTTAGTTGTATGATTTCAAGTAAATTTCATCCATGAAAGTTTGCTCTTTTTCTAAATACAACACATTCACTGCTTGGGCCATTATTGGCTCTAGAATCTCTCTAGCTGAGAGATAGTCATCTGGTTATAAAGGAGACTGGACTTGTCTGAAACTGCATTTCTAATAGCACATTACAGAAAAATGTTAACTGTTCATATTAAAAAATGAGGAAAGAGGGCAGAGAGGGAGATGTTTCAAATTATGTGTATAATAGCAAACAGTACTCCAAGTCAGACGTTGGTGCTGTCATTGACCTTGGTTGTAAATGATTTATATTTGGAAAACTTATATTTGAAACATATTGAGGTTTGATGATGTTGCTCATTGACACATCATTTTATATGTATTTACATTTATGTCAATATTTTTATACATTCATTGTCCAGTAAACCATGGGAAAGAGAGGATGAACACCAAAATTGTGACCTTGTAAAGCAGTGGTTCTCAAATGTATGTTACTAGACTTCTGACTTTGGGGACAGTGGGTCTTCCGCGGGCCGGTGAATCTATATGTTAACAAGCACACCAGCTGATCCTGATGCAAATGTACAGAGGAAGCATAACGAATAGTAAAAGGGAACCCCTACTTAGTATCTGTGATATTAAGTTGTAGCTTGACATATTAAAAATCTTTAAAATGATAAAGATTTTTTTTTTTTTGGGAACGGCAGGCAGAGGGAGAAGCAGGCTTCCCGCAGAGTAGGGAGCCGGATGTGGGACTCCATCCCAGGACCCTGGGATCATGACCTGAGCCGAAGGCAGATGCTTAACGACTGAGCCACTCAGGCGCCCCTAGATAAAGATTTTAAAAGACTCACTGCAGTACAAATCTGGTTGTGTTATCACATCACGTTTTCAGAACATTTTCTTAGAAGGAGCTTTTAGATCCTAAACAAGCACCTACATGCTGACTTGGGAGGTTTTCCTATTGTATGTTTAGTCCATCTTTAAATCTGTAGACTTCTCTTCAGCTTGAATATTCTTGAATAATAATTCTCTCTCAATATTTTTCCAGCTAAAACTGCTAACTTGTCTATTCCAGTCAATATAGACATGATTTGTCTTTTACCAAATTAATCTTTGTTTTTTTGCTCAGTGCTATGATGAAAAGGAGATGTGAGCAGACCAAACTGAGGAGTCAGATTTCTGAGACTTGGCCAATACAGTTGCACAGTTAATCATCGTTACCGTTGTTGTTTCCCTAGCCTTCATCCAGGAGACCTCTACCCTTTCACGAGGAAGCCCCTGTTTATTATCGTGGATTCATCCAACAGTGTCGCATACAAGGTGAGTTCTACGAGCACCATTGTGCGTGTTAGACATGTCACCACCCCAAGGTAAGCAGGCTTAACACCAGCCTTTTTATTTTGCTTTATTTTTAAAAATTTTATGCAGTTTGTATTTAGTGTTTCTTTTCTTTTGAGGTTGTGCATGCTAGTCAGGATCTGGTGCTATGAATAGAGGCCAGAAGAAAACGCATGAATGGACACTCAGTGGAAAATAATAAATTCTCCTGCAGGAAAAAAAAATTCAAGATTTCCAAGATCTCTGGTGGGAGGTTTATTTTTGTTATATAACCCAGAGTAATTTTCTTTTATAGAGGTAGGAGTATATGGGCAAATTTTATTTTCTAGTTTCCAGCCTTTTTCCCTTTTACACACCGAGTTGCTGGAGTTTAAATGGAATTTCTATCCCATTTTACACAGTTACAATCTGAATATCAACATAAATGGTTTTAGATACACTTAATTTTTTTCTTAAATTTGTGACAGTAAGTAAAAAAAGATGGCCCTGAATGCTGAAATAAGTCACAGGGATTTAAAGTGAAAAGCCTATGTTTTATATTTTGCTACTGAAGCAATGGTTTTCAATGACTATGTAAAAACTGCCCGTAGTGAAACACTTTAAAGATGGATTATTAGAATTCAAACCACAGTAATTTATGGGAAAATGAAAACAATCTTTGTATGTGGTTGGAATATTTCATTAGTTGACAGTATGTTCAAAAATATGCTAGGAACACAGATCTGCCAATTAAAACTATTTCTCTTGTGGGTGTTCATAAAATTAGATGGAGAAGCAAATATTAGTAGATTTATTTCAGGAGAACAACGGAAATAAATGTCTGCTAGCCAAGAGATGACCCCAAGCATATGTTTTCCATCTATTTTTTATGTTTAGTTTCACTTTTTAGAGTTAGTGTCTGAATTTCAGGAGCATCCAACCCACTCTAAATTTTTCAGCATATATCCTGCTACCCATTTTGTCAAGTTTGACATCACAGCTTTTGATTTTTAGGAAAATTAGCTGTATACTTTTGTAAATCATGTGTGTGTTGTTGCTTTTAATCTTTTTGAGGGGGTGGGAAGCTGCTGAAGGAAAGAAAAGCTTTATTGGCTAACTTATTTAAACCTATAAAGCCAGAAAAGTCCAGGCATTTTGTGTCTTCACAGAATCCAAAAGAAGCATTCCTGTGTCTTTGTTAATGAAAAGGAATCATTTGCTTCAGCTTAATGATGTGACAGAATATGTTGATGTACCAGGTCAAGTGTATTACTGAATATGATCTAGCATGTGTTTAGAGTATTTTAGCAGTCTGTTAGTTTCTCTCAATTTGATTGGATAATATTTGATACCGCCTTTTTTAGTCTCAAGAATATCATTCGTTGTACATCCCTGCTATTTCCAAAGTGCTGTTTGGATAGAGAATGAGTATTGAATGCTGATTTTTAAAAACACCATTGTACATAATTGGAAATGTATTTACCTAAAAATATATCATGATTTAATTCAAAATTTCAATATTCTGACACCAAGGATAACATTGCACTAATAGAAAGGTTCATTTGTTTGCTTTTGATGGCATATGCAGTATCATTCCTTTCAAAAATTAAATTGTCCCGAACATACTTATCTTCATATGCACCAGGCAAATCAGAGCACGGCATTGACAAATTTGGTCTTTTTAAAAATTAGTGCTATTCAGTACCTCTAAATCAAGTATGCAGTTCTCCGTGTCAACACATGAAGGTGTCTAATGTTTACTTTTCCCCACAAAGCATGTGTGAAAAGTCTTAAATTCCCATTTTGCACATTTCTAATGAGAAAGAACTCTGTGACTGATGTATTACTTCTTGAGTACCGACTTTGCTGTATATGTTTCCTGAACATGTTTGCTAATGTTTCTTCATATAAGTACCAACATTCCATGTATATTTCTTTATTTAAATATTACTTTTTTATTTTTATGAGAGTAACTCATGCATATAGTTTAAAGCTGTAGTTCTCAACTCTTTCTGTATATCAGAAACATTTGAGTCCTTCTTAAAACCATCTGTCCTTGAGCCCCAACTCCTGTGATTCTGCATCGCTTGCCCTGGGGTGGGTGTTGGGTGTCATTGCAATTCCAGTTTGTGTCAGGGTGGGGACCCCGCAGTCAGCGAGTTCCTGCACGTGTTACCAAAAATGGCAGTTCCTGTTCTCCTGCCCTGCCTCCATTTGCCTTCTCCCAGAGGCCACCAGTTACATCTTTTGTGGCTGATTATTTGGGTGTTTAGCCATCATTTGTCTAAATAACATGCTCATGTTGATATTTCTTGATTCTTCAGTTTTAGGCATTATGTCATACTATCCCAATCTGGAAGAGAAATTTAGCTCTTTCCTCTTCCTATCCCCAGCTCACAGTTATACTTTTCACCTTGACTTCCATCATGATTTTGATTCACTGAATATTTAGTGCTTCTATTATAATGACTAGAAGACGTGTTTAACATCTAAGCCGTATAGTAAACTTTTTCTTTCCTGTGCAACTTCCTGCTTTTCCTGGAGCAAACAATTATGTAACGTTGTTCCTTGTTTTTGTCTGAACGTCACATTGATTCAGCCCCAATCTGCTCACCAGTTGCCTACGTCTTCTTTTAGGTTGTTCAGATGTGTCTGTCTCTTAATTTTCTCTTGGTGCCGAATTACCCCCCTCCCCCAGAGCCTCTGAAGGTGCCCTCTACAGAGCCCTCATCCCAGAATCTCATTTCATTATTATCCTGGGACGTCTTCATCTCTTCTCTGTTTCCCATGTATTCCTCTTGGACTCTCATTTCATTTGCCCTCAGCTTGGTGCAGCATCTCCAGGAGCAACTTCCTAAGAATGGTGAACAGGAGGTAAAATATTTGAGGTCTTGAACTTCTTCAGTTGTTCTTTAATTTACTCTCATGCTTGAATGATGGTTCTGGTAGAGATTAGAAATTATTTCCCTTCAGAATTTGAAAGGGTTTGTTGTATTGCTTTCCAGCTTCCAGTATTTCCTAAGAAGTAAAAAAGCATTCTCATTCTTGATTCTTTTATGTGACCTGTTTTCAGTCTCTGGGAACTCTGGAAACATATAGGATCGTCAGTTTGAGCCCCAGTGTTTTTCAACTTCTTAAACAGGGTGCCCTGGTCTGGGTTTGCTTTTTCATGCTGCTTGGCATGTACTTCATGGGTCCTTTCAACATAGAAACTCCATCCAATTTTTTGACTCTCCCCATTTTCTCTGTTCTATCTTTTGGGACCTTGGGACCTTCTGTCATTCCTATATTGGACCTTCTAGTCTAGTCCTCTGATTTTCTTGCCCTTTATTTTCCATCTCCTGCTCCTTTTGCGCTTTAGAAAATTCCATTGCCTTTGTCTTCTAACCTGTGAGATTTCTCATTTGTTTTCTGGATGTTTCTTTCATAAAAATGTAGATGTATGTGTGTGTGTATAAGACATATGTGCATACACATACATGTCTTATCTTGTTTTTTTTTTTATCTTGGTTGAAGCATCTTCTCTTACCTTTGAAAATACCATGGTATCTTTTTCCTCTATGTTGATTTGTTTCTTTTTGGTTTCGTCTATATATTTCATGTTAGGGACTTTGCTCAGGGTATTGTAATGTTTGCTCAGATTTAAGAGTGGAAGCTAACACAATGATTGGAATGTTTGAGGTTATGGATAGGGCTTGTCACTCTGAGACGCTCAGTGTGACGATCTAGCTGGACCACTTAGCTGGGTAATCTCTGATGTCAGTATCTTCAGGTCTTTCTTCATGGTCTGGTCATATTCACCAGAGCAGACTCAACTCTTCTGCCTGGAATGTAAGGATCTGACTATCAGCACTATGCTTTGTTTTTCCTAAAGTCTGTATGTGTGTTTATGTTTGTATATTCATGTATCTTTATGTCTCCATTGCCTTACACTTAAAATATTCTTCGTAATAGGTGTTGAATGATGAAATGAAGGTACATGCTATTATTTTGTAGATGAGGAAATTTTGCTTATGGAGGTTAAGTATTTTGCCTAATTGATTCCAGCAGCCTTTCTCACTCCAAAGCCTAACCTCTCTCCACACTTAGCAAAAGAGGAGTTTTGCATGTTAGTCCAAGCCTCATTTCAGTGGGGGGCAGGGGGGGCTTGAAATGCCAAGATCTATGTAACAAGTATGGCCCACTCTTTGGCTCTCAAATTGTCATTAAGGAATGGGCAAGTTGAAATGGCCTTATCTGTAGTAATACAGTACTAGGGGGAGTAAAATAAACCCCTCAGTCATTCTGGGCGACACATCTTTTAGTTCTGCTTTCTTCTCTTTGGAAGAAGAAAATCCTTTGAGTATTTAAATATTTGCGACAGAACTGGATCTCTGCCAGTGAACGTGACTTATGCATTTGTCAAAACAGTGATACTTATGTAAACAGCCCCATCCTAAGGTATTTGACTGATGGCTGCAGATGGCCGCAGTCTGTTAAGGCATTCACCCTCCTAGCCAGAGCGTGTTAAAAGCTCTTCTGCCAGTCAGCTGCGTTCATTCCATTTCTTCTTTGCTACTTTGGAAGACATTCTCTCTCTCTCTTTTTTTGGTGTTCTACGATTATACTGTGATATGTCTACATTTTGTTTCTTTATATAACCTGTTGGGATTTGTTGGATGTCTTGAATTGAAATGTTGGAGTTTTTCATTATTGCTGGAAAATTCTCTGCCATTATCTCTTCAAATATTGGCGGTCCCCTGGCTTCTCTTCCATCCCCTTCTGGAACTCATCATACATGTATATTATTAGCACAGCATTCTCCCTGTGTCTTCCACATCTCTTGACTTCTCTTCTACATTTTCCATCTTTTTGTCTATCTGGTTGAGATTTGGATAATTTCTTCCGATCTGTCTTTCAGTTCACACATTCTTTCTTTAGCTGCAGTTAACTTGCTTTTAAACCCATTTGTTGGGGCGCCTGGTGGCTCAGTTGGTTAAGCAACTGCCTTTGGCTCAGGTCAT